CCTTTACTCTAGCTATAGTTGTCAGGACACTCAGGGACTGGCTGAACTCAAAGGTGCACACTAAGCTTCATGAAACACACATGGCCAGCAGTGTTCTGTCCACATAGTAAGTGTGTTTGTGTGCTTACATGTGAAAAGACCAGCCCTCTGGAGGCCCCGTGGTATGTCCAGAATGCCTGCAAGTGTGAAGCAGGCCTCCTGTTTACTCCTGCGTCTGTGGAGAGAAGGGAGAGCTTGTCCAGTGCCAAACAGAGTTAACATGGTGCAGTGATTCGGTCATGCTAAATTGATGGAACAGCCTGCATCTCCATGCGCATTCAAGGATGAATAAGATTTTCCCACCACAGCCTGCCATGGTCCTAGTGAGAAAATTGTAAACCAAACCAGAATGCAAATAATAATAGTGGCAAAAGAACACACACACACTCACGCTGTTTTGAAACTGTCCCAGTCCAAATGACTGTGATCAGCTACTACTCAGAGAACATGGCTTGTGCCTCTTACTCTCCTCTCCATCACAGTGTTTTTTGGCTCATCAGGTGGTTTCCTGTGGTCTGTGTTTGTAAATACATGAGGGGAAGAACTGTGGGTTGCTGCCCAGGCTCACCGTGGGATGCCAGGTGAGGCATGCTGTGAGACCTGGCAGACCTGAGGAGGGCAGAGAGAGGGAGAGAGAGAACTCTCTGACAGTCAGAAAACCACTAAGCTGGATGTGCTGCTGTTTATGAAAACGTAATTGGTGCAGTGGTCAGGGCGAAGGCAGTGCCAGCAGCAGCAGGGTGAGAAGTTAAACCTGGCTGCCCAGCTGGAGCAGGTGTGTGTGGAGTGGTCTAACACTCCTCTTTGGCCAGAGAGGAGTCATAGTCAGAATCCTGCAGTGTTACTCATCAACTAGACATGTACAAAGCAAACAAAGAGCAGGTTATATACTGTGTACCTCTTTTTGTTAAAGTACAGGAATCCATTCAAAGATTAACAACAAAAAAGATCACCTTAAATTATTGCACACTGTTGTTGTAATCTGTGACACATTTGTCAGAAAATGAAGCTTCAGTGCAGTGAGCTACAAAGTGCCCCACCTTTTTTTTTATAACAAATTAATTTAATATAATGCACTGTGAGAGTTCAATGTATATGTTATACTGTGGTTCTATATTTAAGAATGTTTATAAAAACATGCAGCTAATGCATTTTAAAAATGTTTGACTGTTAAAGTTTTGTGATGAATGATACTTCACCAAAAAAAAGATCCCCAGTCTTTGTAAAAGATATGTGGGTATGGTTTGTCTTCTTTCACCATGAATACTTATTGGTGCCAGGCTCTGACTGATTATATTGCTCTATCAGTGGAAGCTCAACCATAATCCTTAGGAGTTATGATCTTTCTTACATGGCCAATAGTACTGGAAAGCATCTAAATCTTTTTCTCCCCAAACCAGTTACATAAACACACAGCTTCTCTTCTTTTGAAAGTGAATCATTACAAAGCAAACAAGAAGTGGCAGCTCCCCACCGGTTACTATGGTCATGGCCATTGTAGTGAGGCTGCAGCTGAAATTTAAAACCAACACGCCTCTCTTTATCGAGGGAGCCACCAGGTGAGATATTTTAGAAAGTCATTATTTAAAAAGTTGAATTACCGGGTTTGTGGATATTGAGTTTCTGTTTCCCTAAATGAACCTCTCTCACAAAAGAGCTACCGCCCTTGTCAGCAGTATCAGATCACAGAGGAGGCATAGTGATTTCCCTGTTACTTAATTAAAATAAAATGAAAAATGTGGGATGCTATTTTATAGGGAAAATACTGTTTCTAGCAGGACATCATATTAAAGCCAGAACAAAATGTCTACAGCACAGTCCTTGATTGGGCTTCAGAGTAAAAAGCAGGGAGTTGAGGTGAGAGCTCACTTTCAGTTTTCTTTTTGGCATCAGTGCATATTACACCAGGTTAGTGTTTATTTATTCAAACCTGTAATAAGTCAAGTCAAGACTTCTGTAATAGTTAGGGTGTATTACTGTTTTGTAACAGAATGAGTCAGCTGCAGTTCAAGCACAGCCCTGGTATATAGGCCTGGGCTCCACCTGTAGGAGTGGCCAAATAACTCTTTGGGATCTGCTCCAATAGCAAACATGGGACTGGGGAAAGAGAGAAACAGTTAAGGATTAATTTTTGGTTTGGGGTAAAATCCTGGCTTGGCTGTCTGGAGGACGACTTAATGAGACAGCTGGACAGCTGGTTTTCCTTGTGGGAAAATGAAGGATTGATGGCATGGCCCACTACTCCTTCACCTATGAATGGTAGGAGGTAGCAATACAGCTCTGAACTTAGCCTGGTCAAACATCATCAGACGTAGCTGGGAAACCCACTTTGCACACAGCACTTCATATTTTTGTTGCAGCTTTTGTTAGTGGGGCTTGTTTGTGTTGTGCTCCGGTTAATTTAGGTGTCAAATGCATTATTCAGTCCAGACATTCCTGATATAGATGGATTCTTTCCAGGATGTGTGTGGCTCTTTCCTTATGCTGCCCAGTTATCCTCAGGGATGAACTGGCCTCATGGTGCTGCTCATAATGTTTGTGTTTTGCCACTTAGTGAATATCACATAACATCTCCATAGACCATGCAAGAGAGGATTCATCCAGACCCAGACCTACATGAAGGGACTGCACAGTGAGCAAGGCCGTGTTAAATTGTTCACACAGCTGCATAAAATGCACTCAACACAAAGAGAAGCTTGCTGATTTTTTTCCTCCACTGGTTTCTTATGCTTCAAATATGACCAGGCCTGTTATACACAGTTGTACCTGCTTTTGTCTGTAGCTTATTCTTGACAGGTTGTACTATCAAAAATCAGAAGTCTGGCAGCAATATAATATGTAGGTCTGTGCACAAGTGTAAATCAAGATAATATTAGAGCATCTGCTGTGCATGCCCTGTCTCACCTCTCCTATTTTAAAACTCTAAAGCTCCAAAATGGACCATGACTGAGCTGAAGATCTCTATTGGCTGTGAACTAAATCAGATAAAGTAAGCCAAGATGTTGGGGTGGAAGAAGAAGGGAACGGGCTTCTTTTCTTTCCCTTTAAGATGAAGCAACAACAGCCAAATAAATCAGACATACAGCATGACAAACTGCAGATTGCGGCACCCCAGTGATCCTAAACATATGCGAATCATTAGCCCCTGGCTTCCTGTTGGAGTCCATGTCATCAGTACACACATCCCAACAGGCAAGACCAGCATACAAACTGTTGCTTGGAATCAGAGTGATACTGGCCTCAGGGGCTGGGAGTGAAGCTATAAACGCTATGAAAGAATTCAATTGGAGTTGCCTTGCCCTATCCATTTCTCATAGCTCTGTTATCGATGGGTGACTACGCTATCTGAGCTGCATCAGACACAATTCATGCTAGTTATTTTGAATTCCAATCAAATATCCCTAAATGAACACACACAGTCATATGATTCATTTGCTTTGAGAAGTGCAGTTAACATCCTATTCAACTGCCAGAGAGGAAAGTAATTCTTGTCTACTTGCTATCAGCAGTTTTGTCATTTCTACTGCTGTGCTATCTTCTCCAGGCAGTGTATCTGTTCTCCTCTGAGAGCCAGCAGCGCTGCACTTCCTTTACAGGCTGCCAATCCAGACTTTATGTGAAGAAGAATGTGTGCCAAAGCATTTTTTCCTCAGGTTTTGTCATAACATTGTAGATGTTTTAAATGAGGTTTACCTGCAAGGAGTTGACTCTAACAGGACACTAGCACACTATCTAAGGCATGTGTTTGTTGTACCTTTGTAGAAATGACTGTATATTCATAGCTGCTACTGGGGTCCAAGGTTACGATAAGCCAAAGTAAACATATAGCACTGAGCTCCTTTATTCTTTTATGGAAGATGTGTTTACTTGATTGATGCTGGCGAGTACAGCTCTGACACCGAGGTCATTAGTATGGCTTAACACGTGTTTATGCATGACTGACTTTTATTAAGTCAGTCAGTTTTATTTTATAAAACAGCTGAGAGTTGGTTTGACACATTATGTCGGTTAGCAAAGAGATAACTGTTGTCTTGTGTGGAAGAAAGGAGGCAAAAAAAGACTAAGAATAAGGCCATTATTAGACATGCTGCTGAACAAGTTTTAGTTTAATCTCTGACTAGATCTGCCTGGCAGAGTCATTTGGCGGTTTGATATCTGAAACCAAATCTGATATGGAATCCATAACACTCATGATGTTTGGGTTTCCTGTGTGTATTAGTAGGGTAACATGGCTTGTCAAACCTTGCAGGAAATGTGGTGGTACACATACTGTAAGTGATGGCCACCTTAGTTACTGTATAGTGGCCTGGCCAAAGGAAACTGTGGCCATACTACAGGATCAAGGCTGGCTTGTTGTATGTGCTCATCTGTCAGCATCGGTCTGGACTGCAGCCCAGAGCAGAGCAGCCATTCACACAAAATCTCCAAAAAACCCACTGACAGCTCC